TAGCTTGATGCTAATGACAGTAACGTTAACTCAGCGGGTTGACAAAGTGCCTCTGCTGTTTCACACCATCATTTCCCCCTTTTACTCTGTGTGGTAACATCCCTAGAGGAAATATTAAAAACGCTGGGGTGTTGTTGTCATACAGTTGTCTACGGCAGCAGATCATTGTGTGTTTCTACTGGTCAAAGTGACGGCTGTGATGGGAGAATTGGATCTCAGTGAAGGGCAAGTGGTCCATAACTTTAATTTTGGAGACAAAAAAATGTAGGCTTAGTGCCCTGTGGTCCATTGCCCAATAGGAAATGTCAAATACTCAAAAGTACTTTAAAAGTGCTTGAGTTACTTTTCTCAGGGAGTAACGTTGGAAGTACTTTTAAAGTAATTGAGTTACTTTACTCAGGGAGTAACGCAGTAAAGTAACTGGTTACTTTTTAGAGAGTAACGCAGTAACGTACTTTGATTACCTTACCCAACACTGCTGACGCCTACCCAACATTTCAGGATCATCCAAGTTAAAGCCGAAAATCTCTACAAGGCTATCCAGCATTACATCTTCCTGCTGTCTGAACATGGTGACAAACTAAAGGAACACACTGCTGAGCTGCTCTGCATTGCTGACAACTTGGACAAGGTAACAAGATCACATATGCCAATGAAAGGTCATGTATATTACACTCAATGCAATCATAAGACTGTAAATTAAAATGTAAGCCATTTAAAGAACAATGTACCAAAGGCTCTACAGTCATGACTCCATGCAGAACAATTAGAATTTGGCTGTTTCATATGTGTTGGATTATGGAGATAAAAATTGTCTAATCAAGTACTTTTGAGAAAATATATCAAATTAATTCTGTTTAATTTTAAGGTTTCAAAGGGGACCAAGATTGCTGGCATCACAGGAGGGGCCACAACTGCAGCGGGAGGTGTGGCAGCAGTTGCTGGGGTGATTCTGTCTCCATTCACAATGGGAGCCTCACTGGCTCTAACTGCAGTCGGGGTTGGTGCGGCTGTGGCTGGCGGCGTCACCGGTGCATCAGCAGCCATCGCCAATAAGGTGACCAGGCAATAAACAAGAGATGGTGTCTGTTTGGTGGATGAAGGATTTGCCAATGTTTTTTGGGAAGATGTGATTTAGAGCAGTGGTCCCCAACTGGTCCAGTCATGAGGTCCAGATTTCTCCTTCGTCATTAGTTCAGGGTCCACACAGTTTAATACATTCAGCATCATACTTGTGTCTGGCCATGTTGTTGAGCTAGTTTACTGTCTCTGTTAAGTAGCTGTCGGTCAGTCAGTCACTCTACAGCAAGAAACAGCACTTCAAAATAAAAGCTCTGTGCCACAGATTTACAGTACTGCAAAATAAAGTGTGTTCTTTACAAACTTGACACGTTCGCAAGTCACTTGCGGTGCATTCAGTGTGAACCCGCAACCCACCAGTTGGGAACTACTGATAAAAGAGCAAATGCACTTAAGACTTTTGCTAGCCAAGCTGCTAACTTCTGGTTTAGCCCTTCACTAACTTAGATGGGGATAAAAAGATTTAATCGTGCATCTCTTCTAGACTTTAGAAATGTTATCTGACTGACAGAATCAAATCCCGATAGTGAAAAGAGTCATTTTGCAGAGATTGTGACACCCCAAAAAATGTATCCACTGTTTTACAGATGTCTCTTTCCCTATATAAGTCTTTGGGAAAAAGTGTTTTTGGGGTCCAATGATATAATTTGATGGACCAGGAAGTTTTAATTCCACTCTTTTAATTACCACTACGAAAACTGGCTTCAAAGCCCTGAGCACTTCCTGGGAGCCTGGTAGAACTTGAAACATTTCTACTGTGGCGCCCCCTAATGGTAGTATTAAAACACTAACTTGGAGACGATGGGACTGGGAGGGGAAAAATGCTCATTTCCAAGTTTTAGGACACATTCCTGGCGCACTCTTTTAAAGCAACATCTAGACTCCACCAAGGTTTTTTTGTTTCTTAACAAACACAATTCTAGGCCATCAGAATAATCAAAAGATGCTATTAAAAAAACACGATACATAGTGGTTTTACTTTTTTACCATGGTGTATTTAAAGCTGTTGTTCAACAGATTTTATGAAATCTTCTTTTCCAGGCAAAAGTCGATCAGGGTAAGAAGATAGTAGAGAAGACCTTCCAGGAGTACAAGCACCTCATGATGATTATTCAGGATTCCTTGAAGTTCATTAACGAGGGCATGGAGCAGCTGAAGCAGCATGATCTGTCTGTTCTGAGTGAGGCCAGGAGGGGCTCAGTGAAAGTAGCCAAGATTGTACAACTGGCCACGACAGGAGGAGCAAGTGCCAGGGCCATAGAGGCTAACAGCAAGGCCTCTGGGCTGATGGAAGGCTTTGCCCTCGGCATTGATCTCTACTTATCCCAAGGAAAGAACAGTCAGAAGCAAAAGAAGGGCCTTAAGTCGGCACTTGCAAAGAAAATCCGTACGCTAGCAGTGGAGCTCAATAAGGGTTTGGATGAGCTCATGGACCTGTTCAGTGAGCATTGTTCGGAGGAGTGAAGCGTTTCCAAATTTTATAATTGATACTTGAAAAAAAGAGGGAATACAGTGCCTGGCATCTATTTAGCCAACTTCAAAGGTCAGAATTTTAGATGCTTCTCTGATATTTCTTTTTGTTTTGCTTTTAATGTTATATCTGGACACAATATATAATTATCTCTATCTATCTATCTCTATCCATTTAATTTGCATTTTGTTTTATATGTTAAATTTCCAGCTGAGTTTTTTTAAATAGACTTTAAAGTGCCTTTGTGTAGGAAATGTGCCACACAACTACACTTGCTTTACTTTGTTTTTACCTCTCCTGCTTTAAATATTTGGTATTATTGGTATGTCACTTTGAATGATTGTTCTCTGATATAAAAATTCAAACTGATTTAAAGTAAATGGTAGTCCTATCTGTTTTTTTGTACAATGTCCAGAAATGTATGAGGATGGAAAGAATTAAACACTTTATAGTACCTGCAGCTAACCACTAGGGGGCAGTCCAGTTCTTGCCACTGTGAGCCATAACTGGGTTCAATAGGTTTAACCACCAGCTGCAAAGAATTCTCAAAAGAACTGCATGTTGCTGAAGCAGAGACGTAGTAACAACTAATATAGGACTACAATATATTGTTATGGTGCAGGGACAGCCCGCAAAAATCTGCAAATGTAAATGTCTAGATTTTCTTTCTCATGCCTCTGATTCTTGAGCTACTGTAACATGTGGGATCAATAAAGTCTTAAGTGAGGGAGAGTAGAATACACAGGTGTGAAAGATTTTTCGTCCCATTAAAAGTTAGTTGGTAATTTATTGTCCCCATTCAGTGTGTAAAATTGTCATTGGCTTCATCACACGCTATTAAAAAAAACAAACGACCATTTATGAGTTCAAGAATATTTTAACATTATTTAAAAATGATTTAAAAGCACAGTTAAAAATCATGAATATATTTAAAACACGTTGCTGGGGTGCACAATTTTTTTTTAAAAAAAAGTAAAAGAGGCTAAATTAACTGTTTATAGTCTTATTTAATTATACTTCTAGAATAAATGGGGCGTCATAAACAAAATAGCCTACTAATCTAAATTAATATAATTTTTAACAGATGGAAAAGTATCTAGAATTATGTATTATGTAATATTTGTTGTAGTCTAAGTATCTTCATCAGTCGCTGACATTTGTTAAAGCTTCATAAAATGGCTTCCTTTTTCAATGTTTACATTTTGCATTTGACCTACATCTGACGTAGGAAGCACTCGTGTTTAGGTTTAAAGCCCCATATATATGGATCTATTTTGTCAGCTGTATAGACTTATACATCTAACCAATCACAAACCAGACTCAAGCGGTGTCATCACAGGGTACGCGTGTTTGGTTAACGCCGCCACTCCTGCCCAGCTGGAAGTCCGTTGCTGCTTGTAGTCCCTGAAGCGGAAACTCCACCCGCCGCCCGCGCTGCTAGTGGAAAACAAACGCCAATGCGGAGTGACACCGCGGAGGAATACAGTTGGCGGTGGTTCGGTTGTTTATATAGCAGCGTGACCCTCTCCTCGCCCGTTCTTCGTTCTCACGTTTGTATAAAGTGAATATCAGCCCTCGGCGACAGCTCTCCCGCGCTAAAATGGCAGTTTGAAGGCGTGCGGCAGCTATCTTTGCAGCGGCAACAACCCGGCAGTGCAACGGCGAACTGCACTGGCTATTTCTGGCAAAATGGCGTAAGTATTTTTTTTTAATCGGCATCCGCCTTCGTTTAACTGGTCTGGCCAGTGTTGATAAAGTTAACATACCTGTTGAGTATGGTCACTAACGAGGTCAATAACAATGTGAAACTATTTTTATGTGGATAAAAAAATGTATATGCCGATGTGGAAATTGTCTAACGTGGAGTTGGTGCCTTGTTACAGACTGCCAGTTGAAGTTAGTCCCAGCCGGCGGGTTAGCTTGGGTTGTGCTGTTTTGTGTTGACGAGGCGTAACGTCAACGGTCGTCCCGGTAGACAGAGCTACCTTCTCGAGTCCCTCTTATAAAAATGTTATGTGTTTCACGGCGACATTATGGCTCAGCTTCTTCACATTTGTTGTGTTTGTGTATGTTAGACAGTGACAACGTGGCGTGTCCAAAATGGCGCGCACTGTCCTTTCATCCCAGCCCTTGCACAGATGGCTCTGTTGTGAAAATGGCGGTTGCCCTCCCACATCTCCGCGGTGACTCATGGAGGGGGGCGGAGTCAGGAGCAAAGCATGACCAAATTAGGAAATGTTATCCCCCGGTTGAGGGCGGAGTGTTTCTCGTCAACTCCGCTTTTTCGCTTCAGTGGAACGGATTAGCCAAAATTAGCCTCCCCTCCCCCATGAGAGTCACGCTGACAGCCTTACCAACCCAAGCACAAGCTGAGGAGAAGTTGCATTGTTTGCATGAGGGTTGTCAAAGTCACGGAAGGTGTACTTGTTTCAGGAAGTGCAGACACAATGGGGAGTGTTTCAGGTGTACAGATAAGGTTGGCCTACTTTTAAATGGTGGCAGCCACGTGGCATAATATTTTCATTGGACATCAATACATTGATCCTCTTAAAAATGAACATGCCTATTAATATTTGTTGATGTGGACAGCTCCCAGAATCCTTCTACACCTATTCAACCCAGTAACTCAACTCTTATTATATGTATATTCTTTATTTTCACCCCTTAACATGCATCTCTGTGTGTCCTTTACCCAGGTCTCTCTCGGCAACCACCTACAGCTTTGCTGCCGTCGACAGCAGGACCGAACCCCTCGACTTGATAACGTTATCAGACTCGCCTTTGATTTTATTCACCCGTTCACGGCTAACACTGACCAGCAGCAGACATGACACTCTCCCAGCTGGCCTTGGAGGACGTGGAGGCCCTGTACTTAGGTTGGTGTTGTGATGATAAATGGTCCCAAAGCACATCTACATATATAACTATATGTAGTGTAGAACACTCAGTTTGGATATCAAGCTGGAAAGTGTTGCAAAAACTGCAAAGTTTAGCAGTAATTAACGCATACGTTGGTCTCAGAACATAAATTCATGTCTTGGTTGTATTTTGTGACATTATCTTATAATAAATCTCTTGTAATATATCTTATTTCATCAAAGCTGTCACCGTGGCTTTGATTTTTGAGTCTGATTATGTTAGTGTAGTGTCAGATGGCTAGACTCAGCATACATATAAACTGAATTGGATCATTTTTCTTAGTTAAAGAAATATTTTGTGTAGGACATTAAGCACTCAATGAGGAATTCTTGTCCACAGGGCCCTCGTTTCTGATGGCTGACCCCATGGGGCCCCTTCTGGACCAAGATGAAGAAGAAGCTCTTTCTCCCTCCTCCTCTCTAGAGGGGAAGGCGCCAGCTTCGCCTCCCCTCTCTTTCTCTTCCCACGCATCCTCCCTGTCTCCTTACCAGACGTTGTCGTCCTCCCCACTCTCCTCTGCCTCCCCACCTCCCTCTCCTCCTCCCACCCATCCCTCCTTGTTCCTGGGAACCAAGGCCGGAGCGGACTCCCTGTGCCTTCCCTGGCTGGATGCCTGCGACCTGCTCAGCACCCACGTTGGAGCAGAGGATGGCAAAGGTGAGAGTGATGGAAAATTCTCATGTCAAATATTCTTAATAATCAGCTGTTCAGTTGAGTAGGATTACAGGAACTGTTAGATCAGAGGAAAGTCAAACACCAACTAAAAGGGAGCTAATTTAAAAAGCAAAATTACAGGCGAAGTTAGAAACACATGCTTGAACAGCGGGTTCTTGTGAGGAAAAAAATCCAGGGCTGTAAAAGTTTCCACCACTGTGAGGTGATTGCTTTCAGGCCGACGGTAAATATTTTATGAGGGCTCTTTTGTGTCAGTAAAGCACTTCAGGTTGTCCTGCAGGCACCATGTCCTAGATTCCATCAGGATATTTCTACAACCAAAGTAAAGTTGCTCAAACAAATATAGCCTCAGTATTTTTTGCAAGACACTGCACAAACTTCGTCGAACTCCAAAATTAAAGGCATGAATGAGTAATTGGTGGGTGTGTTGGGCAATGAAGAGCAGTCATTGGTTCGCAGCTGGCAGGTGTGGTTTAGACTAGCTCAAACTGGTTTGTTAAATGGGGTGTTACACAGTGACGTCTATCCCTTTTGTTGGAAGACAGTTCACTGGTGTGAAGCTCATTGCACACGTGTTGTATTTGCATCACTAAATTATAATAGTGGGTGGGAGTCTCAAGTGTTTATTTGCACTTAAGGTAATCATTGAATGTATTAAGACACTCAGTATGACGTAAAACAGAGTCTAGCTGTTTGCGTTTGTATTCTATGAAAATCTAATCAAAAGGATTTTAAAGATGGGTGAAATTTTATCAATTTCATAATTATTTTAATCAAATTATAATGAATAAATCATCTGTCACCAGATGACGCTTTTGAGGGCATGGACTGGATGTCAGAGAAAATCGACCTGAGTGAATTCGATCTGGATTCCCTCATTGGCTCCTGCTCCTCCGATGAGTCACCCAGCTCCCCCGAGGATCTCCTGGCCTCCCTCGACTCCCACATGGATCTGGATCTAGACTCCTTCCACACATCCATCCCCGCCCCGCACGACAGCCTCGAACTGGGTCTTTCACTGCCCAGCATCCCCTGTATCCCTGTGGAGTCCCCTCTTCCCAGGGTACACGAAGCGAAGAAGACAGAGGTGGCTCCTGATCGGGAGGTTGTGATGAAGTCTGAGCCTCCCTCCCCAGTTCCCTCTCCCTCACCTCCCTCTCCAGCCTACACGTTGGAGCTGGGGAGTGAAGTGGATGTCCTGGATGCAGAGAAAACCACCACATCCCTCACAGCCACCATCATTCCAGATCCTAGTGGAAGCATTCAGACGACCAGCCCCATTGTCCTCTCTCTTCCCCCCTCTGGCCACTTCGTGGTGCTGCTCACCAACAAAGAAGAGCCCTCCATCATATCTCTCCCCGACCAGTCCATTAAAACCTCTCCTCCGTCAAGCGACTGCGACAGCGACTCTGGCATCGAGTCAGCTGCCGGCTCACCTGGTCACCTCCCATCTCCTCCTCCCACCCCCTCTCCAACAGCTGGTTCCTCCAGGACCAAACCCTACTCCAAACCAGAGCCCACCACCACCACCTCCTCCCCCTCGGCCAAGACCTCCAGGGTCAAATCGGTGTCTGGCGCTCCCAAAGTGGTGGAGAAGAAACTGAAGAAGATGGAGCAGAACAAGACGGCGGCCACTCGCTACAGGCAGAAGAAGAGGGTTGAGCAGGACCTGCTTAACACAGAGTGTGAAGAGCTGCTGAAGAGGAATCAGGAGCTGGCAGAGAAGGCAGAGTCTATCAGCCGAGAGATTCAGTATCTCAAGGACCTGATGGAGGAAGTTCGTAAGCGCCGCGTTAAG